AAAAAGTGACAATAGTTTGTACCTCAGTGGGTGATGATGAGGATCAAATGAGAGAATACATGCATAAGCACCTTTCATACTAGAAAGTACCATACACATTTAAAATATTGTCAGTGTCATCTATGAAAGCTTGATGAGCAGACCCCATCACACCATGAACATACAGACAGCTCAAAGGATGACTTTGGGCATAGAGGAATTTGGATTTTTGGAGTATCTTGCTCAGGAATTCACGCCTCTTAATGATGCTGTTAAAGAGCCCCCTCAGAGTTCTGGGTTCTTGGCTGTATAAAATTGCATTCAGTTTTCACGACTTGTTTCTGCTTAAAATACCAGTCAGATCCAAGGACTACCTTTCATTTCTTAATTCTCAAGTTGGATCAAGTTAGGGCAGGAATGGCGGGGGGAGGGGAGATCACACCCACGCTCAGGCTGGAAATTCTCAACTCCAAAATAAACACAAAAACATCCTCCACAAGGCCTTTACTTGGTCGGGAGTCATGTGCCAGGGTGAGCTTACTGGGTGGTACTGAGTGAGGCCCATTTCCTGGTGATCCATCGTGTGGAAGGCACATCTGAGCTACCTGGTACTAAGGGGGCACCCAGCCCCACCAGTGTCCCTTCCAGCTATGTAAAAACAGGGCAACATCGTCTAGCCTCACCACCCTCACCTACCACATCAACAGGACTTTCTGTGGTGCAAGTTACAGCACACACGGGGGTGGTCTCCAGTCTGCAGAGGCAGAGAGCGTATCCCTTGGAAGGGAGTGAGTGTGAGTGAGAGTCATAGTACCCGTCTATCTCAGGTGACATCTCCGCTGAGTCTCATTGTGGCCAAAGTCCCAGTAGACAGTGGGCACCTGGAAGGCAACTACCATATCTATTTGATGCTTGTCACTCTACCCCATGGTATACAGTAGGCCATCAATAAATGTTCATGTCATAGAATTTGAACTGAAATCTGCCTACAACCTCTTTTGCATTTTCCAGGTGAGACTTGAAAGGACCTTAGGCAGCCAGCTATGAATCTGGTCTTCACTCAGTCATTCATTCATCCATTCACTCATTCATTCAACACCAAGTGACTTACCACCTGTTGGACACTGTGCTAAACACAAGCAGCAGAAAGCGACTTACAGTGGTAAATGCTGTCTGCAGAAGTTTATACAAAGTACAACAGAGGCACAAAGGCAAGTTAGTTCTTCGTTATGCTATTAGGTGACAGGGGTGGGAAAGGCTTCCCAGAGGACATAATGGCATTTCAGCTGGGCTTCACAGGATAAGCAGGAGTCCACGGACAGAGAAAAGGAAGAGCAGCAGCACTCCGGACTGGGGACAGCACGAACAGAGGGGTCGAGAGACCAGAATGTGAATCAGTCATCTCGTTGCCTGGGGCTAGTGTTCTGGAGTGGGGAGGGGTGGATGAGGCCAGAAGTAGGGCTAGAGCAGCTCCAGAAAGGCCTGGATGCCACACTGAGAATGGGTTCGTTTATCCTAAGGGGAACAAGGATCCATGAAAGATTTTCAGACAAGAGCATGCCATGATCTGTTTCAGCCAGACTGCTTGTTTGACACTCATTTGTCCATTCTTCTGTTCTCTGCCACAAGGCTGGGCTCCTGTCGTGGGCAGAGACACAGCCTCACCATCCCAGCACAAAGTCTGAACACAAGAGGAGCTCAGCAAACAGCAGCCTGAGACAGGTCTTCAAATTCCAAAAGCAGGGCCAGTGGAGCCTCCCCAGCTGCCTGCTCCTTCAAGCTGGAAGGTGGGTGTGGAGAACAGATCATGGGTGGGGGCTCAGAGACAACGTGGTGACTGCATTCCTGGGGCAGCGACGCTAGCCTGACGTCCGTGGTGAGAAGTAACAGAATACCAGCAGGAGAGGAAAGCAGAGGCCCCTCACGGAGAAGGAAAACCAAGAAGAAAAATGTGAATTTTACATGGTGGGAAACAACGCCAGCCAGGAAGTCCGCTCGAAACTTCTGGCTGGACTGTCTTCAAAATTCCCCTCCAGCTGGTGGCAAGTTCCAGCCAGGGGGATGCATATCCGCATTCTGGCTTCAGGAAGTGTCTACCCCATGGTGAAGTAATCCCTGAGTTCCAGCTACTCATCACTTCCTGACGTTGTCCAGCTAGGCCTGGGCCAAGAGACTCACAGGTGGGGAAGCCAGAAGGCTGAGTCCACACAGCTCCAAGGCTACCTGGCGGTGGGTGGGGGTTAGCAGCATCCTCACCCTCTGCAAATCTAGAGGAAATCTAGACTGTCTCCAGGTTGTGAGACATGTCCACATGGAGACAGGAGCCAGACATGAGCCACCACCAGCAGCCCCACCTAGCAACCAAGCTCAGCTCTTTGCTGAGCAATTTAGCAGGTCTGTTTTCCTCATCCGTCAGGACCCAAAACACGGTAACAAAAGCTGTGTTTTCTTTTCCTCTATTCTGGGCAGGGAAATAAAAATCACAGCTATTACAGCTCACCAATTCAGTATACAGCACCTAAGACCTCTCTCTAATCTTTACAACACTGCCAGGTAGGTGTGATTATTATTATTTGCATCGAGGCTGCAAAAGTGAGGTTCAGTCTTATCCCAGTACATGAAATCCTATGGTAGAAGGTGGATCCAACCCCAATTTGACCAACTCCAAGCCAGTGCTCACCCACCACAGTGAGCGGCCGTTGAAACAAACGAAACAACGACAACCTGCTGGAGTCTTCCTGGGACTCCGGCAACTCCTCGCACCTTTACCAGGCCCATTCAAGACAAGACAAC